TAGAAAAAAGACAAAATTACTGATGTGATATAACAATAGGTTTAGTCAATCAGTAAACCTAATATGCTTAGAAAATTTTAATTAGGTCCTACAATAAATAAAACCGTTTTTATGTATCATATATTTTAAATTTGGATCTCTAAAAGTAGTTATAGTAACTGAATTTTTTTTAGAAAAGCAATAATAATTTATGACCATTTTACTATTTTATGGACTCAATTTAACAAATATATATAAAAATAATGATTAATTATATCTCTTTTGTAATGAAGAGACCCAATTAAAAAAATTAAAATAGTTAGAAAGCTGTTGATGTATTAAATCTAAATTATAAATATAGTAAGAAAAGAGATGTCAGAAATTGATGTTAAAAGTTCGAGTGATCTTATATTGAATATTTTGTTTATAAAATAAAATCAAAATTAAAAATAGTAGAATATAAAGTGATACACAAAATTCGCATGAAGATAAAAACTGAAACTTAATTTTTAGTGTCATAATGTGATTAATTTTAAACTCTGTCTTGTAATATAAATATGAACTCACAATTTGTCCTTAAAATGAAAGGCACAACCTCACTCGTTATGTTTCTAGTCTGGTCATTACTTTTCTCCTAAGGAAAACAAGAGTTGGACATCGAATAAAAGCAATAAAGTAAGAAAGAAAAGAAAGATTAAATATGTTTTTGGATTCGTACAATGATAAATATTATTTTTATTTAAATTGTTTTAAATTTTATAATTTAAAGAAAAATTGTTATCATTCAATAATAATACACTACACGTTTAAATATATCATATTCGTAATTACTTTGAAGTGACGTGTGTGTAAGTCACATCATAAATAAATAATCAAAAATAATTTATAAGAAAATCGAAGTAAAGAGAGAATCAAAAGAAAACTCTACTGTATTTGAGAAAAAGGAAATATATTAATAACAAAGTGGAATACGGGAATAATAATTGAGGGAAAGTAGAGATTCTACTTTTATTGTGGTGAGTAGTGAGAGGCATGGAGATAATCCCAGTGACAATGAGAGCGAGAACAATGATTCATGGTTTAGATTGAAAATGGTGTCCTCCAATGGCTGAATGCCAGATACAATGGACAATGAACTAGAAAACGTGTGAACATGAAAATGAAGGAAAAAAAAATTAGAAATTTAGAAGCAGTGAACAGTGTAGTTTGTGATAAATAAATAGGAGGCAAATGGGGTCATTCCATTGGGAAATCTGCTTCTTATTATTGCCGCCATGTGTGGCCCATATTTCTTTTATTTTCAAGCTTTATTCGTAGGGTTTCCCGACGCATGTCCATCACTGTATCGCCTTCTTATCAGATAAAAATAATTCGATATAATTATAAAAATAAACTATCGTAAAGAAAATGGAGACACCAAATGCATAAACATTAGCGATCCTGTTTCTGCTAACGTGAAGTTATTACAGTTTAACTTTGAGCAGAATTTTCTCTTAATTATAAAGTTAGCTGTTATCTCAGCTATACATACGTAGCAAGATTCTAGTACTCTGTCATCCATGATTATTCATCGTCTTTTGTCTCTTCTTCTTTTTGATAGTGTTCCTGGTTTCCTTTAGTGGTTACTTTCTTTTGTTCTTCAATTATTCTCTTATACCAGTAATTATGCAGCACATAGAATCAACAATTTTAGTTATCTAGACTGGACCACTGTAGTTAATTAAATCTAACCATCATAATAAGTAATAGATGAATCAGTTCAGGGACTGTCCATGATTCTTTTCACTTAGAATGAATCCGTATGAATGAAAGGTGATGATGAAAGTTTCAAATATTTGAAATAAATATTTACAATACGAAAAATTACTAAAATTTCCAGCTTTAATAATTTAACTATATTTAATAAACTTACATATTCAGTATTTAATGTCAAATTTGCCTGATTAATTTCCCATTAATTGAGAGATTTCTTTTAATTATACTATTACATTATTGCCCGTAATCCTAATTAGGTTTGTATCCCAACTATAGTAATAAGCATATGCAATACTCTTGGATATATTTATATAAAAAGAAAATAAATTATATAAAGTGTGAATTGAGATGAACCAAATCCATTAACAAAGATCTAAATTGAGAGAGATCACATTCCACCTCTCTACGAAAATTATAGGAAATAAAAAGTAAAATTCCATCTCCAAAAATTATCCTAACTTTTAATATAAAAGAAAGAGTCAAACCATCAGCTTATCCAACCCTCCACTTAATTAAATCATGATTATAGTAGCTCTCACACGTAAAATAGTTTGTTTAATTTTTTGTATGTGAAAGTTAGATTATATTTTTAGATAGAAATCTCTAAAGTGAGCATTTTTCAATAAAGTCTTTTATATTCATATGGTTTGGAATCAAATTTTAACCTTTTTTTTATATTCATCCAAAGTTATATTTATTAAAATTTCTCCTTACCCTTTCGTGTTTAAAAGTCTTTTACACATACAATATTTTATATCATTAAAAAAGGAACAAAACTATTTATAGACCTAAGTTGGCGAGAAGAGTCTCATTTGACAAGACAATGATGATTAGATATCCCTCTTGGCTAGCTCTATAGTCAATAGTTTTAAAAAGTAATTATCTAAATTTCTGAAGTAACAATTAAAGGAGCATTGAGGAATAGAGGGTATAGACTTCATAGAGTGTAACCCTGATAAGAGGTGGTATACTTCATAGTTTAAAGATGTGAAAAGTACACATGCATGTGGTTGAAGAACAACCCTAGCACGGGTAGAGCCCATGCTTTTATTTCTTATTTTTCTTACCTCATATACTACTCATTACATTCACTACACACTTTATTTGTGTGTGTTACGTTTATTATATTTGTGTTTCCGACTTCAGCAACATGGGCAGCCCCTTCGACCACAGCATCCGCATCCTCCGCCGCGTTCCCAACCTCCTCCACCGGGTCCCCCTCCTCCGCCAGGTCCCCAACCTCCTCCACCTGGTCCTCCTCCTCCGCCGGGTCCCCAACCTCCGCCTCCATGTCCTCCCGAGTCATCTAATCCTGCTTGTGTCTGTGATTTTTCTGCTGCACAGGCATAGACACACATACAAGTACTAAGCATCGAATAGATTAAAAGTAACACGATTAATGATATTCATGGTATGGCATCCTAAAAAAATTATATAATGGGAACTTATTTATATATGCTGGAGAATATATAGGGAAGTTCTGCGTGCCAAAACGTAAAGCAATAGTGCCATATAGCATTATAATATGTCTTATATAGTAAGATATATACCACATAATTTACTTTTGGCAATAAAAGGAGGACGATGTCTTAAGGATGAAAATAAACTTGAATAGCATAATTTCCCAGTTCCTTATCATCTAATGTTTAAATTTTAAGAGTTAAAAAAATTGATTCTATAGTTTTAATCATTAAAACTTCCTTTCCCTTAAATACATGTTCATTAATCTAATATGCATATATAAAAATATATATTTAGTTAAATATGTAATTTTATTATCAATATGCTCGTCAAAATATCTCTTTTTATATCATTGCTAGATTCATTTATTAAATTTAATCATCGTACCAATTTAATTAGTTGTTTTTAAGGGGAAGAGAGATAAAGTCTAAATAAATGAAAAAAAATCTTAATCTTAATTTATAATAAAAGTTATATTCATATTTTTAAAATTATCGAACCTTACTAATTGAAAGAATAGAAATAATATAGGATATTTTAACAAAACTTCTCATATTGTAATTTAATTAATATTAAATAATTTATTAAAGGGACATAAAATAAACTGGGGGTCTAAGACAAATGTTTTAGTGGACGCTGGCTTACACGATCCTAATGTATCTAAGGATTTAAGGGGAAATTTGAATGTTTTGGATAATTTGAAATAAATTGAACCTGTATAGCTTTAATATTATGCATTGGTAAATCTCAAATTATTATATACAATAAATAAGTATATATTAATACGTAACCGAAAATATATTATGAGAAGGCATTGGCACGTGCATGGTAAGTACAGAGACACTACCTCAGAGCAAGGGCAGGAATAACACGAAAGAAACATGCAGTTTGATTGGTAGGTGTAGGTGATATGAGGTAGGAAGAGATGCAAGTAGTTACATAATATACTTACCCTCTTTACCATCTTTGGATGGCTCAGTTGCCACAGCAGAGATGAGAAGCAGTGCGCTGAGGAAGCAAAAGAAGAAAAAGGATTTGGTATTCATCTTTGATACTTGGTTAAGAGTTGTTGTGAAGTACAAAGACCGTGTTTCTCGACAGCTATTTATAGTGATAATGGAAGAAGGTAAAGAAGATAAAAGAGAGCTGAAATTAAATTCGCTTTCTTATATTACGATCTCTATCTTGGTTGGATTTCGGGCTTGTTTAGCCGAGGAGAGTCAATGATCCTTATCAGCAAGGACTGAGCCATTTAAGGGTTAAACTGGGACAAGTGTGTAAACTGAGGTAAGCAAGTTTATAAGAAGATGGCAAGTGGCAAGTGACTACGGGAACGTGCGAACTCTCTGAACTGAATCATATAATTATCTTTGAAATATCGTACAAGATTGATACAAACATTAAACAAAATGGATATTAATATTAGTGTTGTATTGTTGGTTGAATATTTCAAATGTTCTACATTAATTTAGTTTTTGGGGAGTGCTGAAACTTTATCTGAAACTCTTTATTTGGTGCATTCAATTTAACTTCTTTTCTTCTTCTAACTTCTATGCTCTTAAAAGGGTAAGTTACGGTCACGCAGATAATCGGTTGGAAAACACTTTTTACATAAATTTTGAAGGGGTTTTTATATCGACTGACAACTCAACGTATACTATGCTTCAACATCATATTCTAAGGCATGTAAATTTTTCCGCTTTAGAGTTTAGAGTAATGCAAACTAATATTCTTAAAAATTTAGAGACTACAAACCTATGACAGTACTGTGACAAACAGAGACAATTTTAGTTAAACCAAATAACATGGAAAAGGTAGAACCAGAGGCAAAGAATAGGAGAGGAAAAGTTTTGGAGAGAAAGAGTGTGAGAGTTGCAGTGAGAAAGGGAGGCGCGAGGGTTCATGTTGCAAAGATGACGTGCAAGAGGTACGTACTACAGACAAACCATTTTTTTTACACACTTTGTTTTGCAATCTGTTTCTACAATTTGTTTTTGTCCTGTGATTGTGCATGATTTTACATTCGTACGATCATAAATTCATTTTTATATTTGTAGCAAAAAGTTTGTTATTTTATCTTCATTACGTTAGTTTTCTATTAGATGACACATCTATTGATACTAGCAATATGTTAGATATAAATAGTTGTCTTGTATATTTGTGAAACTATGAAAAATTGATTTCTGTTTTCCATAATCTCTCACCCGAACCCCTTTCTGAGTTTTATTTTATTTTATTTTTCTCTTCTTTATTCTTGTTAATCATGTTATTTTACATGGTATCAGAGCCCCTTTTCTTGGGGTTTTGCTGCGCAAATCTGAAACTTTGCTTCTTCTCATCCTTCCTTATTTCTTTTCTTCTTCTTGCTTGTATTCCAATGGCGAAACAAGCAATTGATCCTTCGAGTCCACTCTACTTGCATGTTAACGAGAATCCTAGAATTTCTTTGGTGCCGGTTCTGTTAATCGGTGAAAATTAGTATTGTTGGACTCGAGCGATGACTATGGCACTCAAATTGAAAAATAAGTAGCAACTTGTTGATGGTTCTTTGCCAAAGCCCGAAGTTGGACATCCATCGTTCTTGGCATGGGATTGATGTAGCACGATGGTGTTGTCATGGATCAATAATTCATTGGATGCCTCTATTGTTCAGAGTGTCATTTAAATTTGGATGGAGATAGCCTATGAAGTATGGAATGATTTGCGTGAAAGGTATACCAGGGAGATATCTTTCGTATTTATGAATTACAAGAGGATGTTTTACTCCATGAAATGTTATACTTGTTTTAAAGAGAATTCCTAAGGCAATATGCGGTGTAATGAATTTGGTATGCGATACATAGGTTATTTAGAGAATTCTGTAACCGATCTCGTTAGTTTTGTTAATTGACATGGGTAGAGAAAAATGGTAAGGAACTCGCATTTAGAGTTTATTTTCCCGGTTAATATTCTCTCTTTAATAATATTCTCTCTTTAATATAAGTCATATCCTTTAAATAATTAATAACATTATATCCTTTAATAATGTATTTATTAAAAATAATAATCTCTCGTTCGACTTAATTTTTTTTATGTACAAATTATTTTCTTCATGTCACCCATTTTATCTGACATTCTTTTTCTATTTTTCTTTATTCCTCTCTTTATAAATAAGTTCTGAAAAAACAAAAATGAAAGATTCATGCATCTGATTACCCAAACCAAATAATGTTAGAGGTTAGAGTCATAATTTGCGGATTGACAGTAATTATAAATGGGTTTCAGATTTGAAGGAATAGTTTTGTCATTTTTCATTAAAGATGGGAAAACGGGAGAATGGAAGGAATTATGATATTGAAAGGTAGATTTAAGATTAAGAAAGAAGTAAGGAGTTGTCTAATTCTGGACTTCGGTTTCATGTCCAGCATCACGTCACGCTCCTTTATTCTGCATGTAGTTGCCTCCTTTAATACCACTTCAATATCCTCCTCCTCCGCCACCTTTCCCACCTTTTCCTCCTTTTCCACATTTTCCATCGTCATCTCCTTTATCACCTTTTCCACCACCACCGTACCCTCCTCCGCCACCTGATCCACCACCTCCTCCACAACCTGATCCACTTCCTCCTCCTCCTTGGCTACCACCACCACCACTCCCCCCTCCACCTTGACTTCCACCACCCCCAGCACTACCGCCTTCTCCTCCGCTTCCACCACTACCGTAATCTCCACCGCCTCCCGAACTACCACCTCCGCTTCCACTGCCACCACCAGCACTACCCCCTCCTCCATGGCTTCCACCACCTCCAGCACTACCACCTTCTCCTCCGCTTCCACCACTACCGTAATCCCCACCGCCTCCAGAACTACCACCGCCGCCTCCACTGCCACCGCCAGCACTACCCCCTCCTCCGTGGCTTGCACCACCCCCAGCACTGCCACCTTCTCCTCCGCTTCCACCACTACCGTAATCCCCACCGCCTCCAGAACTACCACCGCCGCCTCCACTGCCACCGCCAGCACTACCCCCTCCTCCGTGGCTTGCACCACCCCCAGAACTACCACCTTCTCCTCCGCTTCCACCACTACCGTAATCTCCACCGCCTCCAGAACTACCACCTCCGCTTCCACTGCCACTGCCACCGCCAGCACTACCCTCTCCTCCGTGGCTTCCACCACCGGCACTACCTCCTCCTCCTTGGCTTCCACCACCCCCGGCACTACCATCTTCTCCTCCGCTTCCACCACTACCGTAATCTCCACCGCCTCCAGAACTACCACCTCCGCTTCCACTGCCACCGCCAGCACTACCGCCTCCTCCGTGGCTTCCACCACCGGCACTACCCCCTCCTCCGTGGCTTCCACCACCCCCGGCACTACCACCTTCTCCTCCGCTTCCACCACTACCGTAATCTCCACCGCTTCCAGAACTACCACCTCCACTGCCACCGCCAGCACTACCCCCTCCTCCGTGGCTTCCACCGCCTCCTCCTTGGCTACCACCACCTCCACCATATCCTTCATCCCCTCCTCCTGGGCTTCCACCTCCTCCACCACTACTGCCACCACCTCCTGATCCTCCACCTTGGCCACAGCCAGATCCACCACCACCATATCCGCCACCTCCCTTTCCTTTACAGTTGTCCGTACCATAATTTGACACCAATTTCCTACCGCTCAAAACTGCATAACATCCACGTTTAGATTCATGTATTATGTTTATAGCCTCAAATGACCATGATTGAAAATAGTCCAACTAAAACAAAATACCCGAAAATGGAAAGAAAATACTTACTGCTTCTCTGCTCGTCATGGCATCCACTAAACTTTTGGTGAATTCTATTTGCTCCTGCAGCTGCATCAACAAAGGTTCAAATTACATGCATTTCATGCACCTAATGTTTGGAAATACGAATGCACTTCTAACTTTCATTGATCACATGTCATCACAATATCGAGAACTACAACAGCATGTCATTTCTATATACTTTTACCAAATTCTTTAACAAATTAAATGAATTGACTAACAAATAAAGTGTACTCTCAATAACTTAAATAGAGCTTTGAGAGGTTCGTACCTTTTCTCTCTTCCTGAGGTAACTCATCAGCCACCACCGCAGCGATAACAATCACTGCAGACAGAAAACTCAGCAAAATTAAAGACTTGAGATTCATTTTCTTATTAAACATAACAACACTTGAGAAGGATGAGAGCAAGATTCAAGGAAACCCCTATATATAGTGCATGAAAAATATAAAAAGTTGCATGCGAGTGAGTGAAAGGGACCACATCTGAACCGCATACTTAATACGTTGTGCTCCTTTTTCGAGTATTTTCAGGACTTCCCTAACTTTGCCATGAAAACCCGCTATTCTAAACGTTACATTGCACACCTACACTAAGTAAATGTCAAAGTACATTGAAATTCGAGTTTACTTCTGACTAAGAATCAGTTTCATTCCGTGTCATCTGCCACGTTAGGTTTTCACTTTGCCATTAATGAAGAGTTTTCTCCTTGATTTGATGTTTTTGTGACACCTTGAAAACGCGTGTTCATGAAAGAAGAAGGATGACATCCCCAAACTCGGCATGTCATCTACATCAACGTTACTAATTTCCTTCGGTCAAAGAAAAGAGAAAAAGGATGGGCAGACACAGGAAAGAAAGATCAAAGAGAAGATCAGGAACTATTTCTGAGTTTCACGTATTCCATGACACTGAATTTCGTACGTTAAAGGACATTAAGACAAAGTAGATGAGGTTGGCCATATATGTCATTAATTTCATGAAATTATAAACACATGTATGTGTTTCTCAAATATAATATTTTTTTCCAAAGAGGTCAAATTGTAGTTATAATGTTTTACGAGTATAATATCTATTTTTCTCAAGAGTCATTTTGACATTTTCCACTCATGTTAACAAAACTAAATTTTAAAAAATATATATCATATTTATAGAAGCTACTAATAAATATTGAAAATATTTTGAAGAAAAATAAGGACAGGCCTCTTCATAACTCGTTTAGCCTTATGAATTACTAACATTTTAATTAAAAATAAATAAATATTACTATTTTATTTTTAATCATTTTGTAACAATAATGATTAAATTAATAGATGATTAAAAAAACTAATAAAATATTTTATATATTGAGTCATTGATTTTTATTCGGGAGGATTCAGTAAAAAAAATCATGTCCTAAAATAATGATTTAGTGAAAATTACGATTTCAATAACTAATTAAAATATATTTGGTTGATAATAAATATTTTTAAGAATATTTATTAAGTTTCTATAGGAACCAAGAAATATTTTATAAAAAAAACAAGAAGTATATATAGTGATATTTCTTTCTTTTTTTCAAAAAGATTAATTGTATATCATATTAAATAATATTAAAAATAACATATATTTTTACTATAACTAACCCAAATTAATTATTTAATACCTATATTTTTACCTATATCACTTGGAAGCAATTTTATAAATAATATATAGGTAAAAATATATTTTTTTAAAAAATATTTTGAAAATATTATACTTTAAAAAATAAACTTAATATCTCTTAGAAGACTTTCTCATCAAACTAAAATTTCTCAAACAACAAACTACCCATATTTTAAAAGTTTTAGAAGAGGAAGAAGGGCATGGTGTGAAATTTCTCAAACAACAAACTAAAATTTCTCAAACAACAAACTACCCATAGTTATGTAATTTTGTCATTAAAAAATTTCTATTTATTTTCTTAAAAACTGTTTAAGACTTTCAATTAATCTTATTGATTACTTTAAAAAAATGATATCAGTATACCAAATTTACCTGCATTATTTTTTTTATTTTTTTATTACTCAAATTATGTAATGGAAGCAAACAAGGAAAATAAAATTTAACATTATATGAAAACTATAAAATGCATTATAAAACGCTTTCAATCTCTTTTAAAATTAAGGTTAAATTTTGAATATTTATTAATTTGAAATTAACTTAATTTTAATAGATTTTGTAATGTTTTTCTAGATTACCATGTATGATAAAATTGTTTATTTTGTAAAAAAATTACTTTCAAAGCAGTATTTAGTTTGATTTTTCGTTTAGTTTATAAGGCTTTTAACAACGATAATATATAAAAGTTAATTAATTTCTTTTACATTTTAGAAAATTTTCTAATTTTATACAACAGAGGTTGGTGACCGTTCTCTCTTTCTTCTGGACCTGGTGTTGAAAATTTTCTTAGTGTCAGTAACGCATTATATTTCTAACGTAAACATTTTTTATTGGTCTGAAAGTCATGCCACATTAATATGGGAATGAAACTATGAAAATGAAACTCGTATGGGAGAGAGTAATGAAGCTATAACATTTGACTTAATCAAATTAAATGAAATGATGCGAAATTGAACGTGGACATAAATTTAAACCTGCGCCACGTTTCAGTCGTTGACATTTGGCCATGAAATTTTGTCTGGACTTTATACAATAAACAATATTTTGATTTTCATCAATATTATTCACTAAAAAAAACACTTATTATGTACGAGTAAAATATGTAGATAATGGATAATTACTCAGGAATATAATTCCGTAAGTAATGTAGTAATTACGTAGGTAATTACCTACGGAATTATCCACGGATTACATTATCTATAGATAATATCCATAAGTAATGGATAATTACTTACGAATAGAATTCCGTAGGTAATATTCGTAGCTAATGTACAATTTATCTACGGATTTTCATCCGTGGGTAATATCCGTAATGTAAAATTTACCTACGGATTTTTTTCCGTAGGTAATATCCGTAGATAATGTATACTTTACCTACGGATAGTAATTACATAGGTAATTACCTACAGAATTATCCACGGATTACATTACGTATGGATAATATCCGTAGGTAATGGATAATTACCTACGAATAGAATTCCATATGTAATATCCGTAACTAATGTACAATTTACCTACGGATTTTCATCCGTGGGTAATATCCGTAGGTAATGTAAAATTTACTTACGGATTTTTATCGGTAGATAATATTTCGTAGATAATAGGCTTTTTTTTTTTTTTTTAGTGATTGCGTCAAAATTACACTATGTTTTCTAACAAAATCGTTTTTTTTTTTTAATTTCTTAATTAATATTTTTTTCTGGTAATAATCATTTGTCTTATTTGTGCGTTTCGTTCGGCTTATTATTAGTTGGACATATTAATTTAATGCAAAACTTTATGATTAGCCTGGGGAATTAGATGAGATTCAGCTTCTAGATATTTATTGAACGACACTCATCTTTTTTACCCAACATCAATATTTACGTTTTCTCTAGGTCTCCTTATTTCATTGTAATTATTATAAAATTTATATTTTTCTAAAAAATATTTTTCATTTTTATGAATATTCATATTTTTCATATTTTATTTTTATTTTTAATGAAAATAGAGTATTAATATTCAAAGATGCAAGTAGTAAAACATCTATAATGGATTTAATGATGTGACTCATGATATAATATTTTATTTTTCTATTTCATATAAAGAAAACTGAACAAAGAAAATATTCTTAAGATACTATTTTTCTGACATTATTATTCATCCATCCATCTAATCTATAATTTTATTATAATAATAAATATACAAATTTAAAAGATTTTATGAATATTATATTATTAAAATGAGTTGTAAAATAGTGTCTAGAATGTTCTCAACTTATGATAATTAGAAAAAACAGTGTCTAGAATGTTTAGAAAAAATAACTTATTATCAATAAATATCTATTTAATAAATTTATTTATTAATAAAATAATAATTTTTAAATAATTTATTTTATATAATTATTTTATGAATATAATATTGATAAATAAAGTTGAATAAATTATATTTTTATTTGGTGTCAAATATCACTACTTATGGATGAAGGATATTTGTCTGTCTTCTTCCTTTTAAATAACATATGCAATAGTAAAGGTTACATACTAAACACGCGGAAGAATTCTCTTAAACGACAAATTTGGGGAACAAGTTTTCATTATTTTTATATCAATAAGTAAAAATAATTAGCATAACTTGTGCTGCTAAAGTAATTGTAATTATGTTTCTCAAAGTAGTTCTTAAACATGATAATCCCCACCACCATATCTACTACCGTCAGATGCACCTCCGCCACCCGGCGTGCTAGGCCCATATCCACTACCGCCAGACCCACTTCCACTACCAGGTCTGCTACCACCGCTAGATCCACCACCACCACCAGGATTGCCACTTCCCCCACCACCACCACTGCCAGGATAACCGTCTCCACCAGGCTCATCATCACCACTAGATCCACTGCCACCACCTGGCATACCACCACTTCTAGGAGAACCAGTAGGCCCACCCGCTCCGCCTCCTCCACCTGTCATACCACCACTGCCAGGCCCACCACCACTTGGCAAGCCACTACCACCACCTTGTCCACTGCCACCCGGCATACCACCACTAGGAGAATCACCTCCACCACCAGGCATGCCACCACTTTGAGAACCACCTCCACCACTAGACCCACCGCTGCCACTTGATCCACCGCCAGACCCACCTCCACTACCCGGCATGCCTCCACTCGATCCACCGGTACCACCTGGTGTACCACCACTGCCAGGATAGTCACCACCACCCCCAGGATAGCCACCACTACCAGGATAGCCACCACCGGGCCTTCCCCAGCCACCGCCGCCAAAGAAGCAATTTTTGTGTGTAGACTCACCGCCTGCCTGTTCTTTGTTTGGATTTATGCCATGTTTGACATCACCCGCGCCATTTTTCATTTTCTCATCTTCAGCTGCAAAACCACATGGATCATGAACAAATCTCCTCTCATTGGCCACGATAATTAATAATCTAATCAATTTGAATAATTATAACACAATATCTAGGCAAAGGTGCATAAGTAATTAACAAGAATCAAATGAAAATAGAAAATGTCCAATATCATGGAATATTAGGGCTTAGGCATACATACCACCACCGCCAAACCCAGGGATACTGTCAAATCCAGGGACACCCCCTCCTAAACAATTTGCATTTGTGCAGCCACCACCATTGGTTGTTCTAGGTAGTGGGGTCTCAGGTAAATCTCTAGCTACTACAATTACGGGGTATACAACAATCATGGCCAAGAGGCCATAGAATAGCGAGGCTTCCTTACCAACCATTTTTCATTCGTAAACAAAAATTGCTGATAAAAGATTGATACAGAAATTAGCAAACAACTATTTAGTGAGTGAGAAGATTAAGAAAGAGATGGAGTGGAGCACATTTATACTACTCAATCTCTTACCTAAATAAATTTTGATCATGAAACAATTAATTGTGTGAGCAAAGAAACTGAAGTAGCCTTCAATGTTTTTTGCTTCGTATTAACTGTTGAAGGGCTTATCTAGCGAAGGTTGGTAAAATCCTGAACATGTGCAGCATTATCATGCTTTGGCTGTAAAATAAATGAAATAGCACCCTAATCAACTTGAAAATGCAGCTTCCATCTCTCTTTCAATTTTACTTAAATTTTCTTAGAAGACAAACTCTCCATGCATCATGTATGTTTAAAATTGGATTATTATTTTCAATAAATTTGTTAATTTTTCTTATAAATATTCTTATTATTTTAATATTTTTTATTCATCTAAACTTATTTTTAATATATTATTATTTTTTCTTTATAATAAAATAACTAAAGATATAACTAATAAAAATATAATTAATACATTCTTAAAATTTATAAAAAATATATATTTATAATTAAAAAATAGACTACTATTTATAAATAAAAGGAATATTTTTTAGAAATAAAATATATTATTTTAATATAATTTTTATGATTAATTTTAACTTATTTTAATATATCATTAGGTAGGTAAAAATAAGCTGAATTCATTAAAAAAATTATAATCTAAATTGAATTAAACTTATGTTAGTACAATTTATTTAAATCATAATTTACGTTGACTTCTGTTCGGACTAATCAACTTATAGACGTTACTATTTTATGAAATAATATTTTAAAAGAAAAATAATTAATATTATTTATTAAAAAAATATATTCACACGTTACTATTTTATGAAATAATATTTTAAAAGAAAATTAATTAATATTATTTATTAAAAAATATATTCACACGTTACTATTTTATGAAATAATATTTTAAAAGAAAATTAATTAATATTATTTATTAAAAAATATATCACCAAAATTAAACGATGAAAATTAATTATTATTTTAACTTAATAAATTATTAGAAAGATAAGTAACGATGAAGAATAAGTTTTTAATTATTATTTTAAAATTGAATTGATATATGTTCTTATAATTTATATATTAAATTATTAAATTTTAAATAAAAATTAATTTTATTAATACAATTTCAAATTTTAAATTTTTTAATTAATTAATTTAATATAAATATTTTATTTTTTTAATTTTAATAAGATAAAAATTTATCTATTAATCCATTGGCCTAATATTAGATAAAAGTTTTGACATATTTTAAAATATAGATTGGCCGGGATGAAACATCAAATTTTTTATTTAATTAGTAGGATTATACCAAATTGAATTGAGTTGTCGTTTTTGATAAATATATATATATATATATATATATATATATATTATTTATATTAAATAATATATTTTATTTTTAAGAATTTTTTAAACAATTACCCTTTTCTTAATTTATTTTTATTCATTTCTTCAAATAAAATATAAGAATGAGAACAAAACTTTTAATAGTTCATTAAATATTTATCATAAATTTTAGGTTAAATAGGTAATTTAGTCTATCTATTTTTTAAAATGTTTCAATGTGGTCCCAAAATTTTCAATTTAGACATGAATATTAAAATTAATGTCAATTTTGCACTAATGTTATTTATGTTTTGATGTTATATTAAATGTCTAGTTGGAGTATTAGGTGATTAGTTATAATTACGTGACAGATTTGTCACTTCACATTAAAATTGCAGGAAGAAAGGAATACGTTGACAATGGTCGTTTATCACTGTTCCTCTCTCGTCATCATCATTCCTTCATCGTCGTAATGGGTTGCAGGTAATCCCTCCCGCGTGCTCGATTTCGCGTCATCGAAAACAACTCGCTCCCTCGATGTCGTCGTCGCAAACCTTAAATGGAACCAACTTCCTTCTCCTTCGTCACAGTCAATCTCACATACAACGGTGATTGGAACCCTAAACTCCCACTGTCGTCACAAATGGAACTCTCACCTCCCTTGTCGTTGCAAATCCTCTCACTTTCCCTCACACATTTGTACAAACTCTCAATTATTCAAATCCTAAACACATCCGCGACCTATAACCTAAATTTTATAAATCACATGGATGTCCTCATTAATTCTTAGTTTTTTTAAATAAAATATAGAATAAAAACAAAACTTTTAATAATTCATTAAATACTCGTCATCAATTTTGCAAACCATCAATATATTTAGTTTCTAACATAAAATCACTTTCATTAAGAATATATATATATATATATATATATATATATATATATATTATAAAATTGTATAAAAATAATATTATTTTTATTTGACATCTTGATCGTAAAGAACAAAAGAAATGTATAATGTTAATGAAATTTTTGTTTTAGGTTTGTAAATTCCAAAACAAAAAATCTTTGGGTAAAATGTGGGACTTTATTTGATAGAGCCTTTTGAAAATATTTTATGGAATTAAAAATCTCAGGTGTAATTTTAGTCTCATGTATTAAGAGTGAGTTCGACAGGAAAGAAAGTTAAAAAAAAAAAAGAGAGAATATATATATATATATATATATATATATATATATATATATATATTTAAGAGAAAAATGATAAAAAAAGAAAATAAAATGTTCATTTAAAAAAATAACAAATAATTGTATTAAAATTAAATATTTATTTGATTATAAAATTATTCATATAATTATAGATTAATTTTTTATTAATAAAATAAATTTTTAAACCAATATCTTTAAATTAATATATTATTTTTTATAATATATTTTTTAAGAAATATTTATAATTTTTTAAAAATTAAATTAATAAATAATATCATATTATAAATACATAAATAATATATTAAAGTATTCATTTATTTTTTTATTATTTTGATATTTATGCTATTTTATTAAAATAAAATTTAAAGTATATAAAAATAAATAATCATTTATTTAAGTAAGGATAATTTTATAAATATATAAAGAGAAAGTAAATGTATTTAGGGAAAAGTAATATAATTTTTTCGCTTTTTTTATTATTAAACATAGAAAATTATTACTTTCTGTTTATTTTTTACGCAGTGATCACTTTTTATTTTATATTTTTCCTATAAATAAACGAAACATAATAGTAGAATTTTTTTAAAATAAAAATAAAAACTATTTTTTATAATTTTATAGTGATAACGTGAATATTATCAATGAAAATATAAATATAAATTATTTTATTAGTTTTAATCTTTTAGTTTTTAAAAATTGAAAAATATAAAAACCATTGAAAACTATTGTTGAAATACAATTATAAAATAAGTTTTTTTAATAATAAATAAACAATTTTTAAGTAATCGAGGTTGACTCAAAAGAGCATAATTATTTGTATTTTTATCAATTTAAAGAGAAAATATATTATTGATTATGTACACCAATTCTATAGACTATGTTGGAGACTTAAATTGAATATTTATATCCAAAATAAAATTGTATCTAAATCGGTCAATAATAAACATTAAAAATCCTATTTATTTAACATAATATTTGTCCAACAATATATATAGAGAGGGTGTAATCTTTATAAAAAATATTGATCTATTAAAAAACTTTTTTTTTTACTACTTGATCATAAAAAAATATGATTTTATGTTAATTAAATTAAAAATTATTTTAATTAAATGATTTTGAAATTAAAATTTTAAATTAATCTCTAATTTTAATTTCTAAAATTTTAGTTACTAGTAATTGATTCGAACATAATCTTATATTTTATCCTTGTATACTATTGTGTTTAATTAATGGTATATTTCCATTAAATGCACTAATTGACAAGTAATAAAATTAGTTTGTATTATATATATATATATATATTATCCGCATCTTCCATTATCACTCAAATGGTAATAAAATCAATAAGGTGGATACTATCAAATTAGTCATGATAATAGGTTTTGACTACCGATATTTGTACCGACTTTTATAATTATTATGGTTGTCTTTGTTTTCGAAAATTAAGTCATCATATCTATCTTTGTTGAATTTCAAATTTTTTTTATTTCATACTCGATCTATATTATTTTTTAAGAAATAATTATATTTATAATAAATTAATTTTATTATTTTTATATATTTTTTACATAAATAAATATTTATAATTTATAATTATTATTAATTAAATATTTATTTTAATTTATTATATTTATATTAATATTAATATATATATATATATATATTTAATTCCCTTTTCTTTATACATACCTTAAATATTTATAATATTATTATTGTTATTATATATTCAAATATTTAAATATTTATAACATTATTATTATTATTATTATAATATTATATTCAAATATTTGATTAATATATAAGTTAATTTATTTTTAAGTTATCGCTTAAAATATGAAATATATAATTTATAAGAAATATTTTATAAGTTAATTCTTATTTAATTAATTCAAATTAATAAAAATTTAAATTATTAATTCTCTTTAATCATTTAAAATATAATTATTTTATTAAGATAAAATTTGATATATGACAAATAAAAATAATAAGATCTAAAAAATGTAACATAATAAAATTTAGAAAAGATAAATTATAAATAAAATAATATTAGTTACTAATAATATTTATGTAAAATATTTAGGAAAAGATAAAGAATAAGAAAAATTAACTTTGTGTTCATCAAATTGATTGAAAAGATTGAAAAAAAAATTATTAGAGAGATTAAAGAAATATGAAAGGTAAGAGAAAAATAATAATGTAATGAACTAATTGATATAAAAGATTAAAAAAATCAAAAGAATTAACAAGTGGGTAGAAGAAAAGTAAAATTATTGAAATATAAAAAAATAATCTTATATATAATAGAAAAGAAAAGAAAATACTTTTAAAATATTAATACTTTAAAATTTTAAATTTAAAGGAGTAAGGACGAGGCCGGAGTGAAGA